AAATCTCATAACTCACCTGACTAATATGGCTGAACTACGGATTCAGAGTATGTGAGTATTGATAGCATAAGAAAAGAGAGTGAAGTGGCGTCTGAGCTCGTCTAGATATGTACTCGTTGGAAAAACTTAAACATCTATGGCTCCCAAATCCACGCCAGAAGTTTAATTGGTTTATATCAAGTTGATTCGGTTTGATCTATACATTTTAGCCCAAGGTTGATTGTTATGCCATGTGAGGTGCACTACAGGTTCACCGTAGCTATGGTAGTGCAGTATCTAAGGTGTAACCACACAGAAACCTATCCAGAATCAAGCTGTGCTGTACCTCTACCAATCAACGAGGAGAAGAAATCTACTGGTTTATACTGCATGGCTAATAGTTCATCGGATAATGAAAGCATCGAAAACGAGAGTTGTTTAAATTAGCGGCAGGTCCTAATTGCACGTTTTGGTATTTAAGTAAGTTGGGTTTGGTCGTTTCGCAACTTGACGTCGTAGTTACCCATAAATAAGGGATAAAAAGTGTATGTGCCATATCACACGTAAGTATTTTTAAATGAAATGACAAGACAAACAACAGGGGAAAAATCAATCTTACTTTACATTAATATAATGGTGAATTAATTAGTTAGTTTGTTAACTACACCTCACCGAATACTGTTCCGAATTTCCACGTAATTTCTCTAAGGTCTTTAGAATACCACACAATTGGCATGAGATTTCAGACCAGGTTTGTAGTTCATTCCCAAGATTTGTTATTGGTGGGCGGCTTCAAGCCCGTCGTAACCCTCTCATGGCCATTGTCTGAGATTTGGACGATCGTACCAAGCTCTTAGTTCCCGACATATGGGTCACATGTTTGAGTTTGGCGCCACCCACTTCAACCTGGGTGACTGGGTGGCAACTCAGTCAGTTATTTTTGTTGAACCTGGGATATGTAGGTAAATACGTGTGCAGTTTTCCCTTCAACTGTGGGCTGTTTTCGTTTGTTACATGGGTAGAGTGGGAACAAGCGGGATATTTTCTCAAATGACATGGGAAATATGGGAAAACGTGGGAAACTATTTTCTGTAGACGTGGGGAATTTAGGAAAATTTTGGAAACATGGGAATAGTGGGTTTAAGGGTGTGATTTCGTTTTTGTAGCGCAGCCATACTAACATCGGAAATGCATGAGGTGAGGAACATTTCAGCCTGAATATTATACAACATGTATTTAATCATTGAGAAGTTGCATCAAGACAAATGGTGATTATTTCATTTCAATCATTTTGACACGTTTGTTTATGTGAATTTCAACTTCCGCAGCCACCACCTCAAATTCTTCCTCGTGCATCCGTGGGGATAGGATAGAGGCACAAATCAGCTGATTGCTGCAGTTTTAAGGCGTTATCGTGATGTTGTGTTTGGGCTATTCTACGTTGTTTTTAGTGGTTTTTCCGACAGAAATGCATTTTGAAAATCGTATTTTAACGAAAAAACCTGTAGAAAGTGAGGAAAATAATCGTTTTCATTGTGTTGACGAAATGCTGTCTTTTCATCGAATTGACATCACGAGGTGCATAAGAAATGAAATAATTCATTGGAAAATGTCAATTATGATAGAAAATGCTAAATAATTCTAATTTTTGAAGTTTATTTTACGTATATGATGAGATTGGGGTTAAATATGGAGGTAATTATGCTTTCATGATTATTACCAAATTGCACAGTAATAACGGAAATTGAGTTGCTTACTTCGTCAGATAACGGTGTAGAGATGGTCATTTAACTAGTAGGCACTGTATTATATGTTTATTTATTTAACTCATCACATCTTGACTGAATTTTTATTTTTAATTTCCAGATTATGGTCTTCAATCCCGCAATCACTCAATACATTTAGACATTCTAATTGGGATTAAAAACGATAATATTTGTGTAAATGATGAAATATTTGTGATATTACTAATGTATTTATCGAAATAAATATTGTTTTAAAAATTCTGCTCTATTAATATTTAGTGTTTGTCGAGTTGCAAAGTAATATCAGTGTAGAAGTCGTAATATTCGTAAAATGGTATACTCACACGTTGTCGAATTCGGTCACGATGGGGTACTGTTATCGCTTTTGAGTAATTGCTTTCGCTAGTAAATCTTAAATAGACGATATGCACAACAAAGGCCTATTTAATGCGTCACAGTATTTCATGATAACAAAATAATCAACGAAGTTTAGTGACGTAGTCAACTAATGCACGAGTCTAAGTGTTGGTGTGATCATGTAAGAGCCTTTTGATACGAAATGATAACACAAGAAGAGTAATGTAGTTTTCTCTTTATTACCTAATGATACCCTTTGAGATAGTGGTGTTAAACGCAGCATAATAATAACAGAGTATTTGTGATAAATGGGATATAAGTTGCATTGTGTACTTGAAGTGCCTAGACTAATAACACAAGTCGTGTGCATATAGAACCTACGTTTGCTGGGTTATGTTTCGTTATTACAGTACGAGCACATGTTTGACGGCTACTTTCGAAACAATCTTGAATATTAATCTTATACGCAACTGAAACACTTTACGCAAGGCTTGATGACGCATTGAGGAAGTAATAATAGTTTAAGACTGACGCATTTCACATAAGTATTAATACGTTGCCTATCATTCTCGTTAGCTCTGCAATATCCTCAAAATGATAAGTAAAAGAGACAAAGTTAGTCGACATAAATGCATATATTTGTAAGGAAACAATAATCAAACAAGTTAAAAATGACTCAGAATAAAAGAGTACATATATACACTAAAAAGAGTTAATAACAATCCAGTGAAAAAATCGCAGTTGTAGAGTTTTTATAGCTGCATCATTGTCGTCATAAAGTCCACCAAACACTCTATCCGCAACATCTGTGTCAGTTTGCCTCCGTTGTTAGTGGTGCTGGACCAGTCTTTGCAGTTTTTATCACCACCAGTTCCGTTCGCAGAAACTGGATGTGAACTTTTCAAGCAGAGATTGAGATTGTATTCCTTCGAATGCCTTCAGCCATACTGAGAGAATTCTGAGGATGTATAGATATCAGGTAAATTAATCTTACCTCTGGTGAACAATTCCTAATCTTAGCAACACTGAATATGTGAACAAAGCAAGGAACAACCACAGATCTGTGGTTGTTCCTTGCTTTCACCAACTCGAGTTGGTGAAATTCTATAGATTACTCGTCCATATATTCCACGATATATTTCAGGAATTGTGTAAATTCCAAACCACCTGTCACATTTTCTCTTCTATAAAAAGCAAATATTATACACGTGACTCTTATCCATCCGTTACAATTAACTGAAAGAGATAAAATCCCCAAACTTTATATTTCTTTGATCAAGTTACCCAGTAGTATTCTCCTTGTAAGTGGATCTAATGCTTCTCACATCTGTGAAATTTATAAGCACGTTAACTTGGTCCCTTAAGCTAAAAAATATAATGTCTATCCGCTTTTATTATTGCTATTTCAAAGCCCGCTTCAGTAACGTAAGGCACGTATTAGCCGCAACGTTTACGCAAAGGAAAATCTACCAATCACAGCGTGCATAAGTGACCTTGAAGTGCTCAGCCTCTCCATAAGCCATTTGTGCCGCTATCCTATCTCGCATCCGTGACCTGGTGAGTTATGTGTTGGTGGTGTATTGTCTAATTTAGGCTAATAAATTGATTACTGAAAGTGAAGTAGTACCGAGTGTCAGTAATGTGAATCCCCCTAGACGCCCTAGAAGTACTTTGTTCTTTTTAATATAGCCTTGTGCTACAATTATGTTTGAGAAAGAAATATGCAACCGATCAACATTGTATGGAGAACTAAGAGGAGGGTTAATCCTCCTGCGACGAAGTATGACTGTCCAACAGTTACATGAAAAATCTATCCCCGGCAACAGTCTGGAGAAAGCTCGTGGACTAGCCATTTGAGTGCGCAGACGCCATGAAGTAGTCTCAGAAAATGAAAAACAAATATAATCAAACCGGAAATCTATTAAAGAAATGCATTTTCTACATCTCCTTAAATGCTTGAAGAAGAATGCATATTAAAAAGTACATGGGGTTTCGAAAGTTAACCTTAGGTTCCGTAATAAGCTAACGAATCTACGCGGAGTTTCACAACAGAAAGTTCCCATGCTTCTCGGATTGAAATAGTACTAGGCTGTCCGTTTAGTAGTTTCAACGTATAATGATTCGTGAACTATCACTCGTAGGATTTTGACCAACATCTACAGCCAGTTTAAGGTAGAACATGTAGTAGATATTCTGAGGTAGTCGGCAGGAAGCCTTGAAACTGGGCTACGTGTCTGGTGGCACTCTTCAACAAGGCGTATCTGCAGTCTTGAGTTGACTGTGGCTTCCGAGATTCGGATGCGGGTCACTTAATGCTTCATTCGGTGATGTTACTAACCATCTAATATCAAAAATTCATAGTGCACCATGATGACTTCATTAGTAACTTCATTAATAGTAGAATTCGGCCTGCACCAAAGTAAGGACTAGATGCATGACTTTAGTTGCTCCCTGGTAAGATGTTATGGGTTCGTCAATGAAGTATGTTTGATAAGTCTGAGGAGGCTGCTGCAAGCATTCCGCAACTCGCTTCCTGTATTCTTGTATTCCCATGACTCACAACTGTAGGGTAAAATATGGTTCACTGACCTATTCTAATAGTATTCAAGTCTCACAGTATCCTAATTGTCACTATTTGGAAAATTAGCTAAGCTTGGCACTCTGGAACATGCTTAGAAAACAAGCATATCGATTCTCCTGTAATTCAGCCCTTAGAAAATATGTTTGACGTGATTTTTTCGCCCTCCTTAAGTTGTAAATCCATAGCTTTTCATGACGTAGTAATGACAGGTCTATCTGTGGAATAAAGCCTTACTTCCTACTATTTATGTATACTCACGTATCAGATTATTTCTTCATTTTCTTACAGACTGATCCTCTGACGCACTATTCCTACTGTTGCTGAATACAGACTTGAAAATGTCTTCGGATGATGATCTGTTCCGCAGTTATTCTCCTAAGAAGACTGATGTATTTAACAGTACAGGTGATTTGTTTTCTGAGTCTTACATTGAACCAATCCGAGTAAAGTTTGTGATAAATTTCCACTTATGATGTATTCATCATTTTACAGAGGAAAACGGAAAGAGAAACAACAAGATATAGTCCCTGGTGTTAGTGGATTTATTCCAGACTTTTCATCTTATGAAAGGCATAATTTAATTGTTGAATCGGATGTTAGTCATCCTACTGTTAGTCTTACAGATCAAATGCCAAAACGTAAGTGATTCAATCTTATATTTGAATTAATATTTATAGATAATCAAGAAAATATTACTCAATCTGATCACATTCCAGATTCTGTTGCTGTTGAGCCTAAGGATCACATGATAGGTGGATGTCCACCTGCTGCATTCTGTAGTACCCCTGGTCCCATGAACAGTTTTGCATCAAGTTCGCTTGAAGTTGATGGTACAGTAGCACCAAAAACAGTATCAGGTGATGTTCTATTAAACGCCCTCCAAGTAAGTTGTATGTATTCTTTTTTGTTTTGTATTTGTGAATAATGAAAATCGTCATTTTTATGTTTGATGACTGTAGCGAGTTTTTTAAGGAATTCGAAATGCCTATTTTTAATTTGGTCGTATTTCAGATATTCGTTCAGAACGCAATGCTAGTTGACATAGGGCTAGGTTGAAAATGAGTTAAAGGAGTTGAGGGCGAGAGCATACATTACTACTCAACAACTGCTTGAACAATTCCATTCAGTTGGCAGTGAGCCAGATATCTACTCCTGAAGGGTTAGGGATACAAACCTCTCTCTCTCTCTCTCGGTTGTCCAGACATCAATGAATGGAAAGGGACTTCAACTCTTAATCCAGCGGGGTTGAAGAAGTCGGATGTCTATACGACAAAAATCAGAGTTCCGAAGAACATACATTATAAACTCTGTCTATACATACTAGACATGGTCGGAACTCAACTGATGATAAAGTTGATAGCACTATAGAAAATTATTTATTGAGTGACTTTCGGAAGACAATTTACCACTAGATAAGTTATGTCGTTTACTACATTAATCCACTGTCAGTTAGATCTTAATCACCTACTACTAAGCTATAAGTGATAATTATTTTGTGGGGACCCATATTTCGGTAGTAGGTGTAGTAATAAATATGATTTATGTGACAGAGGCTATGAACGGTTGTCACTATATGATGGGGAGGAGAGTATTTCGAAAGAAAGACTGGAGTCTAGCCATCATCCACCTAGTGGGGTTGTTGATCGTTCACGCGGTGCCACCATCAGTCAGGCTAAGTTTAGGGGAAATTATGATGATGATGTATATATATATATATATATATATATATGCCTAATTCCATTTGTATAATTTTTATTTCTGTTCTTTCTTTATAATAAATAGCCTCCTTGTCCTTGTGTGAGACTTTCTCTTCTCCTGCAAGTTGGATTTTCCCTAGCAGTAGCAGAACGAGAATTGAAGTTCGAGCGTAGAGACTTACATTGGGGAAACATTTTGATCAATGAAATTTGTGTGTCTGCTGTAAATAGGTCGACAATGTCTTCATCATCGTCAACGTCATTATCTCCTTCTTCTACCTCTTCCTCTTCTTCATCCTTCTTCTTGTCCTCTTCCCGCTCCCTCTCCTCATTGTCTACATCTTTAAAAGATTGTTGTTGTAAGTATTGTTCTCACTTGGAGAATGTGGAAGTAGTGGACGAGGAATCTGATAAAGAAAATAAAAAAGACGGCGATGAAAGAGAATCTCCGCCTTTTTTATTTTCTTTATCAGATTCCTCGTCCACTACTTCCACATTCTCCAAGTGAGAACAATACTTACAACAACAATCTTTTAAAGATGTAGACAATGAGGAGAGGGAGCGGGAAGAGGACAAGAAGAAGGATGAAGAAGAGGAAGAGGTAGAAGAAGGAGATAATGACGTTGACGATGATGAAGACATTGTCGACCTATTTACAGCAGACACACAAATTTCATTGATCAAAATGTTTCCCCAATGTAAGTCTCTACGCTCGAACTTCAATTCTCGTTCTGCTACTGCTAGGGAAAATCCAACTTGCAGGAGAAGAGAAAGTCTCACACAAGGACAAGGAGGCTATTTATTATAGAGAAGAAAGAACAGAAATAAAAATTATACAAATGGAATTGGGCATTTATATACATGTATAATAATTAACCCTAAACTTAGCTTGACTGATGGTGGCACCGCGTGAACGACCAACAACCCCACTAGGTGGATGATGGCTAGACTCCGGTCTTTCTTTCGAAATACTCTCCTCCTCATCATATGGTGACAACCGTTCATAGCCTCTGTCAGATAAATGGTGTTTATTACTACGCCTTTCCGACGAAGGGATTTTCCTCACAAAACTGAAAGGGTGAATTCGAAAGTTTTGGCTCTTAGAAGCGAACTGGTGGACATCCAGGTCTACACCTAGGGAAACTTGGAAATCCTCATTCGAAACCTATAGTGTATGTGGTGTCTGTAGAAGGCGATTGGATTATGGGTGACGACATGTGAAGCTGTGTGAATCGCCGAGAAGTATGGGAATGTAGCTCCTGACACTTCTCCTCTCCCTTGTGGATCAGAATTCTCACGTGAAAGGCCGGTGGAAAGGGTAGCTCGTTAAGACAACTCTCCCCGCTTCGATCTGAGCATCAGGGCAGGGCAGACTAGGAGATTTAGTGTGACGCATCTCATGATGTCGTTAATGTGCCAGGTTTGTTTTCGTTATAACAATACGCTTTCAGGTAGTAAACCAGATGAAGAGAAGAAGTTGTGCATGAGGCAGGCTAGCAACTCCCATCCCCTCAAATCCTGTTAAAAGCACCCACTGCTATTGACACTTCATATCTTGAAGTCTGTAGCCATACGTTGTACTCAAAACGCAAAGGAGGGGAAAAATGTTAAACCTGTAAGAATCTTTATGGTCAGACGTAACTCCCTCTGTCGCGCTTATATACTAGACGAGAGCATACATTACTACTCAACAACTGCTTGAACAATTCCATTCAGTTGGCAGTGAGCCAGATATCTACTCCGGAAGGGTTAGGGATACAAACCTCTCTCTCTCTCTCTCGGTTGTCCAGACATCAATGAATGGAAAGGGACTTCAACTCTTAATCCAGCGGGGTTGAAGAAGTCGGATGTCTATACGACAAAAATCAGAGTTCCGAAGAACATACATTATAAACTCTGTCTATACATACTAGACATGGTCGGAACTCAACTGATGATAAAGTTGATAGCACTATAGAAAATTATTTATTGAGTGACTTTCGGAAGACAATTTACCACTAGATAAGTTATGTCGTTTACTACATTAATCCACTGTCAGTTAGATCTTAATCACCTACTACTAAGCTATAAGTGATAATTATTTTGTGGGGACCCATATTTCGGTAGTAGGTGTAGTAATAAATATGATTTATGTGACAGAGGCTATGAACGGTTGTCACTATATGATGGGGAGGAGAGTATTTCGAAAGAAAGACTGGAGTCTAGCCATCATCCACCTAGTGGGGTTGTTGATCGTTCACGCGGTGCCACCATCAGTCAGGCTAAGTTTAGGGGAAATTATGATGATGTATATATATATATATATATATATATATATATATATGCCTAATTCCATTTGTATAATTTTTATTTCTGTTCTTTCTTTATAATAAATAGCCTCCTTGTCCTTGTGTGAGACTTTCTCTTCTCCTGCAAGTTGGATTTTCCCTAGCAGTAGCAGAACGAGAATTGAAGTTCGAGCGTAGAGACTTACATTGGGGAAACATTTTGATCAATGAAATTTGTGTGTCTGCTGTAAATAGGTCGACAATGTCTTCATCATCGTCAACGTCATTATCTCCTTCTTCTACCTCTTCCTCTTCTTCATCCTTCTTCTTGTCCTCTTCCCGCTCCCTCTCCTCATTGTCTACATCTTTAAAAGATTGTTGTTGTAAGTATTGTTCTCACTTGGAGAATGTGGAAGTAGTGGACGAGGAATCTGATAAAGAAAATAAAAAAGGCGGAGATTCTCTTTCATCGCCGTCTTTTTTATTTTCTTTATCAGATTCCTCGTCCACTACTTCCACATTCTCCAAGTGAGAACAATACTTACAACAACAATCTTTTAAAGATGTAGACAATGAGGAGAGGGAGCGGGAAGAGGACAAGAAGAAGGATGAAGAAGAGGAAGAGGTAGAAGAAGGAGATAATGACGTTGACGATGATGAAGACATTGTCGACCTATTTACAGCAGACACACAAATTTCATTGATCAAAATGTTTCCCCAATGTAAGTCTCTACGCTCGAACTTCAATTCTCGTTCTGCTACTGCTAGGGAAAATCCAACTTGCAGGAGAAGAGAAAGTCTCACACAAGGACAAGGAGGCTATTTATTATAGAGAAGAAAGAACAGAAATAAAAATTATACAAATGGAATTGGGCATTTATATACATGTATAATAATTAACCCTAAACTTAGCTTGACTGATGGTGGCACCGCGTGAACGACCAACAACCCCACTAGGTGGATGATGGCTAGACTCCGGTCTTTCTTTCGAAATACTCTCCTCCTCATCATATGGTGACAACCGTTCATAGCCTCTGTCAGATAAATGGTGTTTATTACTACGCCTTTCCGACGAAGGGATTTTCCTCACAAAACTGAAAGGGTGAATTCGAAAGTTTTGGCTCTTAGAAGCGAACTGGTGGACATCCAGGTCTACACCTAGGGAAACTTGGAAATCCTCATTCGAAACCTATAGTGTATGTGGTGTCTGTAGAAGGCGATTGGATTATGGGTGACGACATGTGAAGCTGTGTGAATCGCCGAGAAGTATGGGAATGTAGCTCCTGACACTTCTCCTCTCCCTTGTGGATCAGAATTCTCACGTGAAAGGCCGGTGGAAAGGGTAGCTCGTTAAGACAACTCTCCCCGCTTCGATCTGAGCATCAGGGCAGGGCAGACTAGGAGATTTAGTGTGACGCATCTCATGATGTCGTTAATGTGCCAGGTTTGTTTTCGTTATAACAATACGCTTTCAGGTAGTAAACCAGATGAAGAGAAGAAGTTGTGCATGAGGCAGGCTAGCAACTCCCATCCCCTCAAATCCTGTTAAAAGCACCCACTGCTATTGACACTTCATATCTTGAAGTCTGTAGCCATACGTTGTACTCAAAACGCAAAGGAGGGGAAAAATGTTAAACCTGTAAGAATCTTTATGGTCAGACGTAACTCCCTCTGTCGCGCTTATATACTAGACGAGAGCATACATTACTACTCAACAACTGCTTGAACAATTCCATTCAGTTGGCAGTGAGCCAGATATCTACTCCGGAAGGGTTAGGGATACAAACCTCTCTCTCTCTCTCTCGGTTGTCCAGACATCAATGAATGGAAAGGGACTTCAACTCTTAATCCAGCGGGGTTGAAGAAGTCGGATGTCTATACGACAAAAATCAGAGTTCCGAAGAACATACATTATAAACTCTGTCTATACATACTAGACATGGTCGGAACTCAACTGATGATAAAGTTGATAGCACTATAGAAAATTATTTATTGAGTGACTTTCGGAAGACAATTTACCACTAGATAAGTTATGTCGTTTACTACATTAATCCACTGTCAGTTAGATCTTAATCACCTACTACTAAGCTATAAGTGATAATTATTTTGTGGGGACCCATATTTCGGTAGTAGGTGTAGTAATAAATATGATTTATGTGACAGAGGCTATGAACGGTTGTCACTATATGATGGGGAGGAGAGTATTTCGAAAGAAAGACTGGAGTCTAGCCATCATCCACCTAGTGGGGTTGTTGATCGTTCACGCGGTGCCACCATCAGTCAGGCTAAGTTTAGGGGAAATTATGATGATGATGTATATATATATATATATATATATATATATATGCCTAATTCCATTTGTATAATTTTTATTTCTGTTCTTTCTTTATAATAAATAGCCTCCTTGTCCTTGTGTGAGACTTTCTCTTCTCCTGCAAGTTGGATTTTCCCTAGCAGTAGCAGAACGAGAATTGAAGTTCGAGCGTAGAGACTTACATTGGGGAAACATTTTGATCAATGAAATTTGTGTGTCTGCTGTAAATAGGTCGACAATGTCTTCATCATCGTCAACGTCATTATCTCCTTCTTCTACCTCTTCCTCTTCTTCATCCTTCTTCTTGTCCTCTTCCCGCTCCCTCTCCTCATTGTCTACATCTTTAAAAGATTGTTGTTGTAAGTATTGTTCTCACTTGGAGAATGTGGAAGTAGTGGACGAGGAATCTGATAAAGAAAATAAAAAAGGCGGAGATTCTCTTTCATCGCCGTCTTTTTTATTTTCTTTATCAGATTCCTCGTCCACTACTTCCACATTCTCCAAGTGAGAACAATACTTACAACAACAATCTTTTAAAGATGTAGACAATGAGGAGAGGGAGCGGGAAGAGGACAAGAAGAAGGATGAAGAAGAGGAAGAGGTAGAAGAAGGAGATAATGACGTTGACGATGATGAAGACATTGTCGACCTATTTACAGCAGACACACAAATTTCATTGATCAAAATGTTTCCCCAATGTAAGTCTCTACGCTCGAACTTCAATTCTCGTTCTGCTACTGCTAGGGAAAATCCAACTTGCAGGAGAAGAGAAAGTCTCACACAAGGACAAGGAGGCTATTTATTATAGAGAAGAAAGAACAGAAATAAAAATTATACAAATGGAATTGGGCATTTATATACATGTATAATAATTAACCCTAAACTTAGCTTGACTGATGGTGGCACCGCGTGAACGACCAACAACCCCACTAGGTGGATGATGGCTAGACTCCGGTCTTTCTTT